CTGCAATGTGTAAAAAGTCTGTATCTGTATGAATGTGTAAAGAAAGTGTTCTTCCACCTCCTCCTCACAACATCTGACTACCCGGCATAATTGGTGTCTGCTCCATTTTCATTTTTTATGGTACAGTACGGTTATTTTATGCTGCGGAACGAATTATATGTTTTAACATGTATTTCTATGGGAAAATGCGTTTCGTATAACGGACGTTTCACTTAACGGACGTGCACCTGGAACGGATTAAGTACGTTGTACGAGGCACCACTGTATTTTTTTTATTCTTTTTATATCATATTTACGTAATAATATTTCTAAAATACGTTCATTCGTGCTATAATAAGTTTATTCAGTTATAATAAGTCAATGTATTATAAATATTTAAATTGTGACCTTTAATTCTAATAGTTTATATATTTTTTTATTTTTATTAGTTAATTTAATTTAAAATATTAGCACATCGTAAATGTATTACTACTGGTTTATATATTTATCACAAAAATTTCTATTTTTGTTCGAAATAAAATGAATAAAATAAAGCAAAAATAAATAGAAAAATAAAGGTTTGATTCCAAACAAAAAATATATATAATCTGTGATAATTTTAAAACTAAAATTCGTACATTCATAAATGTTATATAGTTTTGTACAGAACCATATTTCAAGTCGTTCTGGCTTAGTGCCAAGAACAAACTACTTAACTGGACTATGTGAATTTTAACAAAATGTTGCAAATTTTCACAGTTAGTTGTCAGGTCTGATAAATTATAATTTTTTTCTATTGAAGTTTATATTTAAATGTATTTAAAAATATCGTATTTGTAACTACAGATATTAATAAATTTAAAGTAATTTTTGTCATATGAATATAACGATAAATTGATTTTTGGTGAATTTTTAAAATAATATAACCTGTCTGTCCTTGTCTAACCTATACTGCCCTTAGCCCTTTTAGAAAATACACGTAAACAGAGGGGTGTGGCAAACAGATATGAGTAAATTTAACGTAATTTTTGTCAAATGAATATAACGATAAATTGATTTTTGGTAAATTTTTAAAATAATATAACATGTCTGACCTTGTCTGACCTATAATGCCCTTGGCCCTTTTAGAAAATACACGTAAACAGAGGGGCGTGGCAAACGGTAATGAAAGGGATTTATATAAAGTTAAATATTTATAGAAACAATTAAATAATGTAAAACATTGTATAATGTTGAA